TTAGAGTGACGATCGTCTCATCTCAATGATTAATGGATTCCAATATTGTAAGTATATGATCTCTAATTGTTTCGGTCCGATTCCCAAAGCACCAAGATCAATCTTCTATTTAAAACTTCACTCATTGGTACCTCAAAGAACTTAAACTAGCAATCAAAGGTACATTACTCACTTATGATTTAGGTGACATGTTTGATAATCAATTAGAGTCTCATTTCAATCGGTCACAAATGAGTCATCTACGCGGTCTCGTTCAATGTGCATTGAAACACATTGTTGTTCCTATTTCAAGATCTAGACAAATTTTAATAAGAACAATACAATCTTATCAACATAAAACGTCCAACTTTATGAACCGATTGTGAACGACGTAATTTTGATCACATCACAAATTATGTCTTACTATACCCGATCCATGGAGTATATAATTCATGACATCCTATATGATCATGAAACCTTACACAATCACTTCAAATTATAACACGCAAATAAACGAACGTAAATTCATAATGTGATTTTACAGAACACTACTCGAAAAATTGGCATCAAACTAACAAATCTATCTACAAATCAAACAGAATGGCAGAGCAATACCCTCAAGGCCATGTCAATAACACTTCTTTTTTGGAGGCCGAAGAACATGTATGTTTCAATTTTATGAGAAAGGATAGAATGGGAGAAGAAAAAACTCAAGATAATATTGTAATGATAGATTTTGACACTAGAAAACGGAGCAAAGGGGGGCAAAAGCACACTCTGATGGATGAGCTTCAACACTCTCATAGCCACTCAAGCTCGGTAAATTTCATAACTCTAGCTATCCTTTTCCAAATAAAGTTTCATAAACCATCTGTTCAAGATAATTTATTTTCCGTTTTATTGTTTAAATTTTCAGTCTAGTGAGAAGGATGTAGAAGGGGGCGGAGAAAGGAGAAAGAAGAAGGGAATTAAGGAGCCTATCAAGGATAAGATATCTGAAGATGAAGGAGAAGACACTGAGCATAAAGACACGAGCATTCCCGTTGAGAAATGTAATGAAGAACCAAACGCTGAAACAGCTAAGGTAGAATAAAAGAAGGGCTTTCTAGAGAAGATCAAAGAAAAACTTCCCGGTCAGCACAAGAAAATTGAAGAAGGCAATGAAACTCCATATGTATATGAGCAATCCCCAGAAAGCGATGCAAAGGAAAAGAAAGGGATAATGGACAAGATCAAGGAGAAGATGCCCGGGCACCATAATGAAAAGGAAGATTAATTTCCCAGCAAAAGTGTGAAAATGATTCTAGATGTAGTTCCCTTTGTTAGGTTGTATTTGTTGCATTGCCTGCTAACAAGAAAAACTCATCACTGAGTACAAGATTTCTTCATCTAGTCTTTTCAATTCGCTTCTTAATCTATGTCACAATGTTGTTTCTTATGAGTGTATTTTATCAACTATGTTTTCCACGGACCACACTACCTTCCTTTCGTTGAATCTGTATGCATGTAAAGATTACATTTATGATCAATAAAATCTACAAAAAAACATTGAAGTCCTATTATGAAGTTGGGCTGCATAAATTAGACCCAGATAGATGCAATAATTAGCTTCTAAAAAGCACAGATACTTAAAAATTTATTGCATATATACATATTTGATATGTATTCACGCTTGGATATTCTCTAATACTTACCAGATACATAATTTTTAATTATTTTATATTTTCGATGCATATCGTACACGGTATGACACGTGAAGAAAATTTTTACTGATTTTAAACTCTTTTAAAACTCACTGGTAGTAAACACGTGTGTTGCGCATCTTATGTATAGGATGAATGATATGCGTAATATTTTTAAAGTATTGATATAATTTTTTAAAGTAATTGAGGTAATTGATATTCTTAAAGAAAAATTAAAATTGTTAAAATAAATAAATAAATAAATATATGGTTGTGAGGTGGGGTGAGTGGTGTGGTGCTGTGTGCTATGGTGGCATGTTGTTATGCCTA